ATCAGCCATTGCATTTTTTTAAACCTCGTTCTCAATTTGTTAATTACAGCAGATATGTGTCTATTAAATTGCAGCTGTGTATCCAATTTTACACCGAGGTAAGTGTGCACCGTTTGGTTGAGTAGCGCTTGCCCGCCTATGTGTGCAGTTTGGGCATCTGTCTGCATTTGAAGCCTGCGCAAAGTGTGCATGACGTGCACCGTCTTGGTTGCGTTTATTGTTATACACCATTTAGTGGCCCAAGCAGACAAGACTTCGAGATACTCGTTCATTCGATTAACTGCATCTGTCTGCGTTCTGCCTACAGTTAGTATGACGGTATCGTCTGCATATGTTGCAAGCAATGTTTCTTTGCGGTACATATGCCTCACATATCCAGTTGTTGGACTTATTGGTCCTGGGATGGGCATGTCAGCTGTATATAGCGTATAAAGCACAGGACCAAGTACACTTCCTTGCGGCACTCCAGCCGCAATTCGCTTAGTGCTAGATCGGATTCCCCCGCTGCATTCTACCATGAATGTTCTCTCGGCGAGGTAGTGGCTAACTACATTGTATGTAGCATACGGCAGAATCATCCGTAGCTTATATCGTAGCCCATCATGCCATACTCGATCAAAGGCCTCTTGGATATCCATATATGTAGCAGCACAGTACTGGTTCCTTTCATATGCTTCGAGTATAAATTGCGTGACTCGGCCAATCTGCTGGTCTGCTCCGTGTTCGCTGCGAAAGCCAAATTGATGCTTTGGAATAGCATGTATAAAACCATCTGATTCGTACATTCGTCTAAGCAGCAAGTGCTCGAATATTTTTGAAAGACCTGATAGCAGACTTATTGGTCTGTATGAATTTAGTTGCTCTTGCGGCTTGCCAGGCTTAGGAATCATAATGACCACAGCACACTTCCATTTGCTAGGAAAGTAGCCCAAGCGCAGTATGCTATTATAAATGAGGCTAAGGTACTGGAGAGCAACTAACGGCAAGGCCTTTATAGTCCGGTTGTCAATTGTATCAAGCCCAGGAGACTTTTTACGTTTAAGCGCCTTGATTTCTGCTATTACCTCAGCATCTGTTATTGGCCGAAAATGCATCTCTGCGTGCGTTGGAGGTAGCTGTAGTTGACTCGAGATGTGCTCTCTGTCAGCTGTTGAGGCAGTAATAATAGGCTTGAATCTCTCTTCTAAATTTTGAGCAAACGCTTCCGCTTTTTCTTGCGTAGTTTTACACCACGCGTTGCTGTCTTCTGCGCTGCTGCCAGGTTGAATGAACTTTTTAACTGGCACATTTGGCGCAGGCTGCCGTTTAATGCCGTTTGTTAGTCGCCACAGCTTTTGAAAGTTGTAGCGGTCACTAGGATCTATAGATTCAAGCAAGCTATTCAGACGTCTCTCCTTGGCTTCTTTTAAAGTTCTTCTGACCTGGTTTGCGAGACTGTCATGAATTCTTTTGGCTAATGGGTGTCGGTTCACAAGAAAATGACGTTTGAGCAGTCTTTTGGCCTTGATCATTAATTCCAGAGACCTGCTGAGTGGGCACTGGTTTTGCGCTCGTTGGTGGTATTGAATTGCGTGAGAGTTTGTTGCATATTGTGCTGCTGCTCGAATATTACGCTCAAGAATATCTGTGGCATCCTCAATATCTGCAGCTGAGTGGATTTCTGTATCCAGCAGTACATGCTGGTTTAGCCAGGCTTGAAAGCGAGCAACACTCGCGTTAAGTGGTAGTAGATAGCACCTTGACTTGTTAAATGCCGGGGTTTCAAGAAGTTCGATTAATAGAGGGAGATGATCAGAGCCAAGGTCGTGTGTAGCGCTTATCTGTAGGAGTTCTCTCTGCAGTCCCTTATAGACAGCAAAGTCTATTGCTGACGGCGATTGTCTAGCATTGTACGGGAAGTGTGTTGAGGACCCAGTTGCAAGAATCTCACAATTATTTTGCTGTACATATCTGAGAAGATTACCACCTCGTCTGCAGGATCTAGCATTGCCCCACCAATGACTTTTCGCATTCCAATCTCCTGCAATGATGAACTTGTTGCCGAGCTCACGAAGAGCAGCAAACAGCTCATCTTCGAGTTCAATCAGGGGCGGGCAATATACTGCTGCGATGTTAATAGCAGACCCATTAAGCAGAGTGATTTTTGTTGCCGCGCACTGCATTGATATAGCGCTAGTGAGAGGAAGAGCGATATGCTGTAGACTGTGCTTGACCAGTATAGCTGCGCCTCCTCGTCGCGTATTAGATGGGTGATGTGCTTGATATGCATAGTAGCCGTCGATCTTGATTTCGTCTGTGCCGCGCAGGTGAGTTTCAACTATGATCATGATGTCAATATTGTTCTGATAGATGAATGCCTCCATTTCTAACATTTTGTTTCGCAACCCACATGCATTCCATGAGGCGATTTTGAGCCCGTTTGATCTGCGATTACTGCTATCTTGACGGACTGTGCTAGGTATATGGTTGTTAAACATTTTGTTTGCTAGTAACTTGCTCCTTTGCCATTAGGCAAGATGTCAAGTTGGTAAGTAAGTTCAGAAGTTTATCTAGCTTGTTTTCAACGTTGGAGTTGGCTCTCAAACGATCTTCAGTCATTAAAGTGATAAGAGTGTCCAGTTTTTGACCAATGTCGCAGTTTGTGTTTAAGTTAGTAGCGCTCCGTCGCGTACTGCAGCTGCGGCTTCTATTTTGCTGGCGTGCCAGCGTTTGTTGACCATCCATTTGCCTGCGAGTCGGGAGTTGTTGTTGCTTAGGGCGTGATTGGCGATGCTGCTGTTGGGCTGTCTGCCGCTTTAGCTTCTGTTGTTGCTGCTTTTGCGAATGCATATCCGGCAAGCCAGAACGCAAGGCCGACGCATAAGAATTTGCAGCAAAGTTCACAGTTTGTTGTTGTTGTTGTTGTTGCTGCTGATCAATATGTACCCGTTGGCGCGTCTTTGAGCGTTGACGTTGATCTTGCTGCTGTACCGATTTCGGCGGCTGCTGCTGTCGCTGTTGTGACCGTTTTCTTTGGCGACTACGCATAACTGGCAATGTTGGCTGTCCTAGCTGAGCAAGTAGGACATTGGCTTTGACCACGCTCTCAGACTCTTTTTGCTTGCAGGCATCCTTGAAGGACTGACACCCTTTGTAGCTAGCCGCATGTGGGCCTTCACAATTAGCGCATTTTGGCCGATCGTTAGCCGTTATGCTGCACTCAGTAGAAGGATGTTTCCCGCTACATTTGACGCATACGAATGCACGCCTGCAATAATTCTTCGTATGCCCAAATTGTTGGCAGCGATGACATTGCACTATATCGGTAGTTCGTAGTGGTAGCTCAACTTTGACCTTTTGGCCGCCGAGCATGTTGAGCCTTAAAATTTCGCTGTTATTTGCCTTGGGCTCCAATTCTATCTCAAACATGTCCATTGGCTCCCTAGTGAATCGTTTTTTAATAACACTAACGAATCGGGCTTTGTGCCCCAGGTCAGACAATTTAGTGCGAATCCAATCCGCCGGAGTAGAGCGATGTAAATGGCGCATGATAATTTTGAAGCCACGTTCGTGCTTCAGTTGGTATGTATGTGAAGCAATGGAGTTATCTTGGAAGTACTGTACTAGCTTTCGGTAAGAATCTACATCGTTGCAAAGCACTTGCAGGCCCTGACCAGCAGAAGGCTTAGTTGCATAGGTGCCCTCACCAATGACATCATTAATGCCTTCAATTAATGGCATTATTTCCGGAACAAAAGGTATGAAAAGTGGCGCTGGTTTGATTTTTTGTACCTTGGGTACTGGGGCCCTTACGTCAACACCAGCAGAATTTGCATGATTTACCGTAGTGTTGTTGTTTACATTTACATTAGTAATGTTTGGGGCAGGCGCATCGGTTACTGGATCAACAGCGTCAATCTGCATGTCTTCATCAGGATGGTCTGTAACCCAGAGTTCATGCTGTTGGCCGTTCCCAAGGAGATTTTCTAATTCTTCACTCAGGGCGGCATCATTAGCAGCAGCCTTGCTTATATCGGCTTCTAGCATCTTGATTCGCTTGGCGCTGTTATCTGGAATTGCATGGCGTTTAGAAACCTTACCCTTGAGTTTTTTATCACTAGCAATTTTGGTCAGCAAGTCAGCAAGAGTTGACTTCTTAGTAGTTGCGGCTGCGTCGGGGGCAACTTTATTAGCAGCAGCTAAGCCTGCGGCACGCGAGGTGCTGGGCGCATGATTTAGCTGCTCATTGTTATTTTGATTGGCATCAATTTGCATTGCAGGGATTTTCAACGCATTATTAGCTGAGAATGGACCGCGGCCAGCTTTGATTAGCTGAATTTCAATGTCCGAGTCTTCCTCATCAATCGGTGTCGTGATTTGTTTATTGTTATGTTGACGCTGTGCCATGTAAACAGTTTGAGAGGCATACGAGAAAGTAAGAAGTCTGGTCTCACTATTATTTAATAGATCATGTGATATCGATTCTTTCTGTTATTACATGTGTTTTATATCGTCCTATCGATAAGTTTTTATTTACAGCACTAGCACAAATACGGCTGGGCCTAGTGCCCTTTGCCCTTTGCTGCACCGAAAAATGTGCAATTTTCTATTTGATAGTTTTCAGACAAAATGTATGTGGTTTCACAATTTTTGATTTTTCACGTGCGCCGCGCACTCTCGCGGACACATTGCCACCACTTTAGTAATTTTCAATTTTTGATTTTTTTTTGACTTTTTTTTGACTTTCCGTTTTTGACTTTCCGTATGCTCGTTTTTTTTTTTGACACACGCACTAGACCAACATTCAAATTGCACCAATCCGCACCTGCATAGCAGGAGGGGGGGTGCAGCTAGTGTTGGTATTCTTTATTCAACATTAATATTTGACATATTTTAATTGAATTTTTTAGCGCCTACATTTTAACATTTCTGTTAACTTACAATTTAACATTATGTTATTTACAGGCACATATTAGCAAGTCCCATCACTAGGACAATTTAACATTAAAAAGGTAAACAAGTTTTCCGCTGTTAACAGGCACAGCTTTTAGCTATTGTGTCTTTCAAAGGTAAGTTAAATTTGAATTTAATTTTAATAATCTTATATTTATGCTGCATGGTCTTCTTTTCAGGTTTCCTTCGTGCTGCATTTGTTGGAGAAGGTGGACGATGTGCATATTTGCACTCTTCAGAAGGCGCTAAACGATATAGCCAATTTGATCATAACGACTGCTTCGAAGTGTGAGTAGTTGATCTTTGTTTGAATTAGTGGATTATAAACATGCAATCCTTGCATCTCAGCCGTTGTTACCGGTCAGATAAGTAGCGGCTGCTACTTTTTGATTTTGACTTTCCGTATGCTCGTTGACACACGCACTAGACCAACATTCAAATTGCACCAATCCGCACCTGCATAGCAGGAGGGGGGGTGCAGCTAGTGTTGGTATTCTTTATTCAACATTAATATTTGACATATTTTAATTGAATTTTTTAGCGCCTACATTTTAACATTTCTGTTAACTTACAATTTAACATTATGTTATTTACAGGCACATATTAGCAAGTCCCATCACTAGGACAATTTAACATTAAAAAGGTAAACAAGTTTTCCGCTGTTAACAGGCACAGCTTTTAGCTATTGTGTCTTTCAAAGGTAAGTTAAATTTGAATTTAATTTTAATAATCTTATATTTATGCTGCATGGTCTTCTTTTCAGGTTTCCTTCGTGCTGCATTTGTTGGAGAAGGTGGACGATGTGCATATTTGCACTCTTCAGAAGGCGCTAAACGATATAGCCAATTTGATCATAACGACTGCTTCGAAGTGTGAGTAGTTGATCTTTGTTTGAATTAGTGGATTATAAACATGCAATCCTTGCATCTCAGCCGTTGTTACCGGTCAGATAAGTAGCGGCTGCTACCACCATGTCGTCTGTTGGTCAACCAGCGGAATATATTTTGCAGCCTGATTAACTGGAGTCGCCATGTTGACCAGCGCTGATCTAGGTACCACAAATTCGAGTCCAAAGTTCGCAGGAGCAGCCGTCGCCAGATTGATCGCCACTGTGCTGGATATTGGAGTCTGAATTGCTGCAAACGTGCTAGCCGCTGTCGTCTGGTAGTATGCATCAGATAATAGCTTCTTGCAGCATATCTTCTGATTCTCAATCTTTGTTGCAGTTGCCGTTCGATCAGACGCCATTGACGTGGAAGCTGCTCTGGTCGAGTTGTCTGATTTGAGCGCTGAATGCACCTAAACGTAACCATGATAACGAGATCAGTAAATCCTTCGCCATTTTGCACATCTGGTATGCCGTCAATTGTGTGCCTCACAGACAAGCTGATAGCCGACGCCGTATTGGTTGCCTGTGCTGTTGTTGTGTTTGTGTGGGTGCTCGTCGTTGGAGAAATGCCCATTGCGCTGCGGTTGGCTGCTGCAGAGTTCGCTGGAAATATAAAAATACTCGTTATCGGCACGGCTTCTTGTTGGGCCGGTGGCATAGCGAAGTACGCTTGCCTTGCCAGACGTCTTGCTTGTAGTCGCTCTTCTAGCCGCTGTAGTGCCTGCTCTCTTTGCGCATATATTTGAGCATATATTTGTATCGACTCTTGATGTTCTCGAAGCATTTCCTGTCTATGTTGCTCTTCTCTTTGTTGCCTCTCTATTCTCCGCTGTGCGCGTTCTGCTTCTCGTTGTTCGGCGCGCTGTTGTTGATAGCTTCTTTGCCTACTAAGGCGCTCCAAAATGCTTTGCTGCAGAGCAGTTAGTGGCCGTTCAACAGATCTTCCATGTATAGGTCGGTGTGCCTCAATTTCTGCCATTCGTTGTTGAGCTTCTAGCAGCTGCTGCTCTTGCTGTCGCTGCACATGGGGCATATGTCTTTGTAGCATTCGGCTGTACCTCTCCCTAGTTAGCCGCTGCGGTACATATGGGTTGATTGCTAGGTCTTTAGCCAGGCAGTTGCTGTGATTCAAAAGGCGCTGCACATATTTGCTACATGCCTCATTGTAGACGTCATCTACACTTGCAACTTCCAGATCATTGCTTATGGTGCTATTGCGCACGTACCATGGTGCACCTGCGATCGATCTGAGAATTTTATTTTGCATAGTCTGTATGCGATCGATTTGTGTTTGACTTGCAAGCGGTCCCCAGACGGGCAATGTATATTGCCAAATTGGCGCGATGAGTTGTTTATAAATTATAACTTTTGTTTTGAGGGGTAGTTTGCTTGTGCTATCAATCAGCCATTGCATTTTTTTAAACCTCGTTCTCAATTTGTTAATTACAGCAGATATGTGTCTATTAAATTGCAGCTGTGTATCCAATTTTACACCGAGGTAAGTGTGCACCGTTTGGTTGAGTAGCGCTTGCCCGCCTATGTGTGCAGTTTGGGCATCTGTCTGCATTTGAAGCCTGCGCAAAGTGTGCATGACGTGCACCGTCTTGGTTGCGTTTATTGTTATACACCATTTAGTGGCCCAAGCAGACAAGACTTCGAGATACTCGTTCATTCGATTAACTGCATCTGTCTGCGTTCTGCCTACAGTTAGTATGACGGTATCGTCTGCATATGTTGCAAGCAATGTTTCTTTGCGGTACATATGCCTCACATATCCAGTTGTTGGACTTATTGGTCCTGGGATGGGCATGTCAGCTGTATATAGCGTATAAAGCACAGGACCAAGTACACTTCCTTGCGGCACTCCAGCCGCAATTCGCTTAGTGCTAGATCGGATTCCCCCGCTGCATTCTACCATGAATGTTCTCTCGGCGAGGTAGTGGCTAACTACATTGTATGTAGCATACGGCAGAATCATCCGTAGCTTATATCGTAGCCCATCATGCCATACTCGATCAAAGGCCTCTTGGATATCCATATATGTAGCAGCACAGTACTGGTTCCTTTCATATGCTTCGAGTATAAATTGCGTGACTCGGCCAATCTGCTGGTCTGCTCCGTGTTCGCTGCGAAAGCCAAATTGATGCTTTGGAATAGCATGTATAAAACCATCTGATTCGTACATTCGTCTAAGCAGCAAGTGCTCGAATATTTTTGAAAGACCTGATAGCAGACTTATTGGTCTGTATGAATTTAGTTGCTCTTGCGGCTTGCCAGGCTTAGGAATCATAATGACCACAGCACACTTCCATTTGCTAGGAAAGTAGCCCAAGCGCAGTATGCTATTATAAATGAGGCTAAGGTACTGGAGAGCAACTAACGGCAAGGCCTTTATAGTCCGGTTGTCAATTGTATCAAGCCCAGGAGACTTTTTACGTTTAAGCGCCTTGATTTCTGCTATTACCTCAGCATCTGTTATTGGCCGAAAATGCATCTCTGCGTGCGTTGGAGGTAGCTGTAGTTGACTCGAGATGTGCTCTCTGTCAGCTGTTGAGGCAGTAATAATAGGCTTGAATCTCTCTTCTAAATTTTGAGCAAACGCTTCCGCTTTTTCTTGCGTAGTTTTACACCACGCGTTGCTGTCTTCTGCGCTGCTGCCAGGTTGAATGAACTTTTTAACTGGCACATTTGGCGCAGGCTGCCGTTTAATGCCGTTTGTTAGTCGCCACAGCTTTTGAAAGTTGTAGCGGTCACTAGGATCTATAGATTCAAGCAAGCTATTCAGACGTCTCTCCTTGGCTTCTTTTAAAGTTCTTCTGACCTGGTTTGCGAGACTGTCATGAATTCTTTTGGCTAATGGGTGTCGGTTCACAAGAAAATGACGTTTGAGCAGTCTTTTGGCCTTGATCATTAATTCCAGAGACCTGCTGAGTGGGCACTGGTTTTGCGCTCGTTGGTGGTATTGAATTGCGTGAGAGTTTGTTGCATATTGTGCTGCTGCTCGAATATTACGCTCAAGAATATCTGTGGCATCCTCAATATCTGCAGCTGAGTGGATTTCTGTATCCAGCAGTACATGCTGGTTTAGCCAGGCTTGAAAGCGAGCAACACTCGCGTTAAGTGGTAGTAGATAGCACCTTGACTTGTTAAATGCCGGGGTTTCAAGAAGTTCGATTAATAGAGGGAGATGATCAGAGCCAAGGTCGTGTGTAGCGCTTATCTGTAGGAGTTCTCTCTGCAGTCCCTTATAGACAGCAAAGTCTATTGCTGACGGCGATTGTCTAGCATTGTACGGGAAGTGTGTTGAGGACCCAGTTGCAAGAATCTCACAATTATTTTGCTGTACATATCTGAGAAGATTACCACCTCGTCTGCAGGATCTAGCATTGCCCCACCAATGACTTTTCGCATTCCAATCTCCTGCAATGATGAACTTGTTGCCGAGCTCACGAAGAGCAGCAAACAGCTCATCTTCGAGTTCAATCAGGGGCGGGCAATATACTGCTGCGATGTTAATAGCAGACCCATTAAGCAGAGTGATTTTTGTTGCCGCGCACTGCATTGATATAGCGCTAGTGAGAGGAAGAGCGATATGCTGTAGACTGTGCTTGACCAGTATAGCTGCGCCTCCTCGTCGCGTATTAGATGGGTGATGTGCTTGATATGCATAGTAGCCGTCGATCTTGATTTCGTCTGTGCCGCGCAGGTGAGTTTCAACTATGATCATGATGTCAATATTGTTCTGATAGATGAATGCCTCCATTTCTAACATTTTGTTTCGCAACCCACATGCATTCCATGAGGCGATTTTGAGCCCGTTTGATCTGCGATTACTGCTATCTTGACGGACTGTGCTAGGTATATGGTTGTTAAACATTTTGTTTGCTAGTAACTTGCTCCTTTGCCATTAGGCAAGATGTCAAGTTGGTAAGTAAGTTCAGAAGTTTATCTAGCTTGTTTTCAACGTTGGAGTTGGCTCTCAAACGATCTTCAGTCATTAAAGTGATAAGAGTGTCCAGTTTTTGACCAATGTCGCAGTTTGTGTTTAAGTTAGTAGCGCTCCGTCGCGTACTGCAGCTGCGGCTTCTATTTTGCTGGCGTGCCAGCGTTTGTTGACCATCCATTTGCCTGCGAGTCGGGAGTTGTTGTTGCTTAGGGCGTGATTGGCGATGCTGCTGTTGGGCTGTCTGCCGCTTTAGCTTCTGTTGTTGCTGCTTTTGCGAATGCATATCCGGCAAGCCAGAACGCAAGGCCGACGCATAAGAATTTGCAGCAAAGTTCACAGTTTGTTGTTGTTGTTGTTGTTGCTGCTGATCAATATGTACCCGTTGGCGCGTCTTTGAGCGTTGACGTTGATCTTGCTGCTGTACCGATTTCGGCGGCTGCTGCTGTCGCTGTTGTGACCGTTTTCTTTGGCGACTACGCATAACTGGCAATGTTGGCTGTCCTAGCTG